CTACTTCCGCTGCATTTCAGAGTCAGTAAAAATTGTTGATCCAAACCTTATATGCATCTTCATATTGTTCCTAGGTGATCGTAGGGCAATTTTTTTTCTACTATGTTTCCCAACATGACATACCAATGAAGATGGGACAATAGAGTTTCCACATCTTCTAGCAACGAGGCTTTTCGTGTTGGAACAGAGTAATACAATGTCTTCCCCTAGGCCAGGAGGGCCTCCACTTCAAACACAGGACCAAAGCCCTACTATCTAGTTCGAGACATGAGGTGCAGTGAAATCACATATTGTTAATGGACTTCGTCAGATTGCAACCATGGTCACCCCACCTAGCAGCTTAAGGACGAGTTGCATCTCTAGGAGGGGTGTGATGTTATGTACATTAGTACATGGCCCTACCATGGCAACTCCCAATTATGATATTAAAGAGATACCAATTCCTATGTTAAGTAGTGTATTGTTTAATCTAAAAATATATCTTTCAGCTTGCTACTTAGATTGGATGGTTAGTCCTCTAATAAAAAGGACTCCCTACGAGGAATAAAGCAAGCTAGAATCAGAAGAATAACACTTATATTGTCCCTCCAGCGCAAGAGCCCTTCCTCTACCTCCCTATAACCTTAGCACACAACAAGATTCCTCACATGTATATTGTGATCAACTTGAGAATCATGTGCATCAGTATTGAGATAATTTACATGTACCCCCTCTGCATATTAGTTTTATCTTAAGTTAAATTTTGAATACTTTGACCAAGTTTACAATACCAAATCAATACCATCAGATTCATCATTGAATATATTTTCACATTATATATACTTGTCAACTGTAAATGTTCATACTGTTTTCAATAAACTCAGTCAAACTTTATAAAGTTTGACTTAGGTCAAACCTATATGCAAAGTAAATAATAACAGAGGGAGTATATGTAGTTAGGCTCATGAATTCAATTGGCAGATAGCACATGAACAATAAGTTGTTTAATTACTCATATGTGTACCCAAAATAACATATACATAATACAAACATGAATCTAACTATGAAGCTGGTAGAATAATTAATTAACCTAACATGTACACACATACATACATATTCCTTACCTGTATATTGCAATAACCCCTGGAATCTCGTGCTGCTATATTCAGATCATCAATTACCGTGTCGGGAATGTCCTTGCATCGACCAAAAATTTGCTCAACGCTGCAAAAAATAAAATAGAAATAGGAAATTTAAAATGAATCTAGTGTAATAACATACTGTAGTAAATACTTTGTATCTGTTAACAAGGTAAGAAAAACTGATCCGATAACTTCACACTAGAACACGATTGATCGGCACTAGCTTCACAAAAGGGCTTTTAAAAAAAATCAAGGGCAGTTTCACTATCAAAACTATATATGTATGCTAATGCTAATAAAAGAGAATGGCATAATCTGCGTAGAAAAGTATACAGTGGTGGTAGAAATGCAATAATTTGCACTTATATACGAGTGATATTATGCATGTATTCGAACTAGTGTGTGTTCTTTTAAGGTTGGCACACAAGTAGTACGTACTGGGGCAACATGTACACAGTTAACAGTAACTTATAACAGTCTTACAGCAGGATTGCTGCATCTCATATTTAGCTGCTGAATGTATATTACGGAAAAAGGCACTCGCGACGTGCAGGTGCAGTGGGAGCTTTTAGGCACAGAGAAATATTTAACTAGACTGACAGAAGGACGCCCAGCTTAATTTTGCCAAAATTCCAATGATACGCCTGTGGGAAATAAGTCATTCTCCGTGGAAACAAAGAAATGCAACATAAAATCAGAGAAAAATAATCCGGCGTGGCTATGGGCAGCTACATATCATATTTTTGGTGGGGCTATATATGCACAGATCCTTCAGTTTGAGAACTAAACATCGCGAACTCGGGCTCCTAAACACGATCCGCGGCAGTTGGCAATGATTTTCTAGACCAAACTGTGTGTGCTCGGCCGAAACAAGAACATGCAAGAGCGCCGGTGCAAGATAAAAGGCAAAAGTACTAGCTGCCAAGAACAGCAGAAAACACACGGATACTTACAAAAGATAGCTGACTAGAGAAAATTTAGATTAGTATAAAAAGTATACATACGGATATACGGTATACCTGGTGTCGGAGGAGACGAACTCGTAGAGGCGGCCGGCGGGAGAGAAGACAACTAGCGCAACCTCGGCGTCGCAGAGCACGGAGAGCTCGAAGGCCTTCTTGAAGAGCCCGCTCCGCCGCTTGGAGAAGCGAACCTGCCGGCTCGTCCTGTCCTCTATCCGCCGCAACTCCACCCTCCCCCGCTTCCTCTTCATCTTCCCTCCTCCCTCCTCCACCGCCGCCGCCGCCGCCTTCAAACGCTCATCCTCCTCCTCCTCCTGCTGCTGCTGCATCCTCCTCCTCCCCACATCCTCCGCCATTCCCAGCCAAGGCCCTAGCTAGCTAGCTACCCGTCAAAACGCAGCCGAGCGAGCAGCCGAGGAGGCTGGTGGCAGCTGGTCAGAAAGATGGGGAGAATTAACTTGGGAGGGGGAGAGAATGAGAGAGATTCAAGCGAAAGCTGTGGAGGGCAGGACGAGGGGCTCCATGGGCCTGTCCATCGGATGGGTACGGCACCAGTTGCGGGACACGGGTCCCTGGCCCCCCTCGGCGCCAAAACTTGAGAATTCGGGCTGAGAACCCCCAATACGTGTAGCTTCGCAGCGGCGCAACAACGCTGTTTCGCTGTTTTGTGTCTCGCTGACCTTGTGGGCCTATCTTTGTTGGATCTGAATTGGACGGTTCGGATCACATGTATTCGTTACGAGCGATCAACTGTTCAAGCAGCAAGAAAAAAGAGAACAGGTCGATTCTGGTGGAGAGAGAGAGAGAGAGAGCGCGCGCGCAGATGTTTCATTTTATTTCGTAAGTATATGCAATACAGCAAATAGAGCATGCTACCGATCGGCATGAGCGGTTAGCGGTCTCATTACCAACAATCAACAAACAGGACATAGTACTAATCTGAACATGAATAACCAAGAGTTTGCCAGAATTTGCATAAAAATGAATTATGCATCATTCTCCATAATGTAAAATTATCACAAGTGATTTTGGTACTTACACAAGGTGAAGAGATTGGAAGGAAGGGATGTCTTCTCTGTATCGGATGGTTTGCTGTTCTGCTATGATGGTCCTTTCTTTTTGAGAAAATGCTATGATGGTTCTTGGGGTCTTAGCTTGATGACTTCTCGACTGTCTACTATAATAAGATTTGTCTGACTTCAAGCGTGAAAAAAAGAGTTTGTATGACTCCCGTGAAGAAGGGGCGATGATTGCCCCATTAAGTCCTCCCGTGTTTATAGTGTTGCCAGGTGCCCTAGGGACATGGATAAAATATATTTTTATTACTTCCTATATTCTTTATGTTGGCATGATGTTTGATGATCGAAAGTTTTTCTGAAGAAAAGAAAAGCCAACAAACACCCGAAGAGATGACTGTTGCCAATTGACAACTAGCTATCACCTTCTAACCTAATTCTGACTGTGATCAGAGGACGCTCCGCATGATGATGTATTCGTGTGTGTTTGTGTATTTTCCTTTTATCCGCAAAATTAAGCATTCAGCACAATGAATGATGTGCCCTTGGGTCTCTAGGCCTTTTTTTTCGAATCAATCTATTCCTTCCACTCCCGAGGACCCGCCTCCCCTGTTCGCCACTCCAACAACTGACAATAGGGTGGGCAGTTTCAAGGGGCATTTAGATTACAGCCGGGGGCTGCCCTACTAATTAATTGACATTGACTACTAGAGTTGGCATGCGTTTGGAGGATACCAAAATATCGGATCCACGCCAATATTTCAGCAGCCGGTTTACTCTGTATGCCCGTGCGTTGGCAAATCGCTGGCAGTGAAAACCTGCTCCACATTATTGGGGTGACCAATTTTGGCAAGGCTACCATAGGCGTGAACCAATCAGCCTCCTGGTGCCTCGATTCAGCTAGTAGTTTACGTTAGAGTTTATTATTTCTCTTGGAGCGGTGAGGTGGCGGATGGTGGCGCTTCATCTTCGAGCTGATCTTTCGGGCTCCGATCCTCCTTGAGTTCGTTCATTGGAACATAGTTGATGGAGTTTTGACATAGATTCATGCAGTCTTATTGGGACAATAAGGTTAGGGTTTCTCACCATGTGTGCAAGACAACGAGATTTGGTGGCAGGCGCTTCAAATCAATTTATGGTTTCAATGGTGACGACTACAGGTCGAGAATGTTGGTGGTTAGGGGCACTTGTATGAAGATTTCTTGATAGGCCGGCTCCATTAAGGGAGCGATGGCGGCAGCTTGTTCATGATTAAAAAAAAGAGAGAATGATGTGCCTTCTCTTTGTGTGGAAAAAGATGGAATCGATTGATGAAAGAGACCCCCACACCTTTGCAACATGCACTTGTATCCTAACAATTGGACGGACCTAATCAAGTTGCACAAGAGAGTGAGTTAAAGGGAATATATATCACCAGCCAAGCACGATGTCAACCTGAAAAGAGCATCATATCTGAAAATGAAATAGGGGAGATTTGGTTTGTTTGGCACTACATGGGGTAAGATATTTGACATAACGTGCTCAAGTAGAAATTTTGTTTTTTTTTCCTTCTTTGGCTTTAGCGAGACAAGAAGATGTACAGCGACCAGCACCATTAGTCCAACATCTTTAGGCACGCAACGACACAACGGTTACATTTGCTGGTTTCTTTACTTGGTGCAAAAATATCCATTGAACAGGTAGATGGGATAGGAGAAGAAAATTGAGGTCGTAGCCAAAGTTTTATTGCCAAGACAAAATCACCCCAAATGCTAATTCCGAAGAAGAGAAATGGGCTAGAGACAATATACTGCTGCTGCTGCTGCACAACAAAATACAATACGAAACTAAACTTCAGCCACGTACAAACTAACAGAGTACAACAGAAGGAAGAGCTCCAAAAGGTTTGCAATCCGAATCATCTATATCCGACGAAGAACCTTCTCGGCAGCCTCCACGGTTTTCTCAATGTCTAGGGTTGTGTGTGCCAAGCTTGTAAAACCTGCCTCGAACTGGGATGGTGCCAAATACACGCCTTCTTCCAGCATTCCACGGTGGAACCTCCCAAACTTTGCGGTGTTGCTCTTCTTGGCGTCATCAAAGTTGTGCACTGGGCCACCTGCGAAGAAGAATCCGAACATGCCTCTGATGTGTCCTCCACACATCTCGTGCCCTGTTTTAGCACCCGCATCCAATATACCCTGGACAAGTTCACTGGTGACCTTGTCTAAGTATTCATAGGTGCCAGGCTCCATCAGACGCTTGAGAGTGTGGATTCCGGCAGTCATAGCTAGAGGGTTTCCACTCAGGGTTCCTGCCTGGTACATTGGTCCTGCTGGAGCAACCATCTCCATGATATCCTTCCGCCCACCATAAGCACCAACTGGAAGACCACCCCCAATAATTTTCCCCAAGGTTGTCACGTCAGGGGTGATTCCAAAGTACTCTTGTGCCCCACCATAAGCTAAACGGAAACCAGTCATCACTTCATCAAAGACCAGAAGTGCACCGTCTTGTTTGGTCACCTCACGGAGAGCATTTAGGAAAGCAGGCTGTGGAGGAATGAAGCCAGCATTGCCGACAACCGGCTCAAGGAAGACTGCAGCAATTTCCCCTTTGTTATCCTCAAACAGCTTTTTAACTGCCTCAGCATCATTATAAGGTGCTGTTAGAGTCCCAACAGTGGCTCCCTTAGGCACTCCAGGGGAGTCTGGGAGGCCGAGGGTGGCAACACCACTGCCTGCTTTAACGAGGAAGGAATCTGCATGGCCATGGTAACAGCCTTCAAACTTGAGGATCTTTTCCCTCCCAGTGAATGCACGCACAAGGCGGAGTGCTCCCATGCAAGCTTCTGTTCCTGAGTTTACAAAACGAACCATTTCGATACTCGGCACAGCGGAGATGACCATTTGAGCCAACACATTCTCCAACGCACATGGAGCACCAAAGCTAGTTCCCTTCTTCAGAGTTTCAATAAGTGCAGCATTCACCTGAATTAAACACAAGCATTTAGTAACGCTGAATTTGGTTCAGAATGGTCAGTCAGTTTCTATCTTGCGATTTCCAAATAAAGCAAGATATGTTTAGTCCTAACTTCATGATTCCTCAAAAGTTTTGAACTGAGATAGTATTAGGCGATTCCAGCAGTTTGATCACACAATCTAATGAATAACACATGTACTTAAGCTAGTGGTATTTCTTTTATGGAAAAAATGGTGATTAGTCAAATTAATCCTACCGAGTACAACAAAGAAATTACCAAGCCTTTCAATCATCAAATATTCACTCTGGGCAACAATAAAGCAGTTCAAAATATATAGGTAGAAACATTCCACCCCATACATTTTATGAAATACTCCCTCCGTCCCAAAATAAGTATCGCGGATTTAGTACAACTTTAATACAAAGTTGTACTACGTCAACGGCACTTATTTTGGGACGGAGGGTAGGATGTACCTCGTCATCTGCATGACCAATGATTGCAGGACCCCAGGAACCAACATAATCAATATATTCATTTCCATCGACATCCCACATATGAGAGCCCTTCACAGAATCAAAAACTATGGGCTGCCCGCCGACTGATTTGAAGGCACGGACTGGTGAATTAACACCTCCAGGCATCAATTCCTGTGAAGAAGTGAGACATCAATCAGTAAAACACCCACATCAGATAATAATGAAAATAAAATGTGAGTAAGATCTCAAATAATAGAAGAATGTAACGATGCTCTGGATGAGGATGGACTGCGCCATCTCATGATAGTTCACTAAATCCAAACAGAGCAGCACCAAACAGTTCAACATCTGTCAACGCATTATGCCAACTACTTATCTAAGACCAAAAACATGACTAAGAGCATGGTTAAATGCACTGCCCACTTTTACATTTCTCGGATCCAACTACTTATGGCAACTTCCACCTTATATTCTCATCATGGTTGTAAATGCAGGTAGCAGAATCAAACATGCACGTAGTTGCCCACCATGTACACAGAGACTAATTCTGTGCGTGAAACTTGACGATCGATGTTGTGTCTATGCTAATATTTCTGCCTACACCTAGCAATCTGGTCTAAGAATACAGTTGACCTTGACCTTGCCAAATGCTGACATTGCCCATCTAGGCAGCACAAGGGCCCTGATTTTCAACCTCTAATCTAGTCATATTACGCCTTCAATTCGCATACCAGACACAAAAACATGCAAATTTTGTCCAAGTTTACCCGAGAACTTTTGAAGTTGGTCACACACGCACGCCTCTCCACAATTGCACTCAGAAAAAATCCGCATTTTCCTCCCCCGATGAACCGCGAAGAGAAAATCTCAAACGCGGCACTAAGAGAGAGAGAGAGAGACAGACACAGAGAGAGAGAGAAAGAGAGAAAGGGGAGATATAGCACCTTGGCAGCGTTGAAGATCTCCTCAGATTTCTGAACCGTGTAAGCCTTCTCGCCTAAGGAAACGGCCGCCCTCACCACCGACCGAGAGCGAGGCGCGCGCGAGATCTTAGGAGCGGCGACCGTCCGGATCGAGATGCCGGAGGCCACGGCGGCGGCGGCTGCTGCTGCTCCGGCCATGATGCTTCCTTCCTTCTCCCGCGATGTCGTCGGGTGCGGGGAGAAGATGAGGAGGGGATAAGAGAATTGGTGAGGGGTTTGGTGGGATTGGGTCTTAAGAACTCGGCCATGGCCCTGGCCCACGTGAGAAGAACGTCGTCTTTTTCTTGTGAGAAGATAGGTGTGTTGTACGGGCCAGATGGGCCTAAAGCTTAGGACCACATCGGCTTGTAAACTTGGGAGGGCCGCGCCGTTTCCTCCACAAGCAGCCCGCGTACAGCGGCAGACCCTATTTGTCGCTTCAGGCGCCCGTTGGGAAGTCCTATATGACGCTCTTTGCGTCAAGTTGGTGGAGCTTTGCACAGAGCTTCCAGTTGGCCGGCTTTCTATGCCGTTTTCTGTTTTGACTGTAGCGACAGAATGTGATCGAGTCCTGGCTGCAAAAAATGTGCCCTCGCGGGGTATCAAACCCAGTATCTCATCCCGAGAGAAAAGGTGATACAACCAGCTGAGCCAACGAGCTTTAGTGATTATAGGACAACACAACTACTAAGAATCGAACCCCAGCGCAGATTCAAAAAATTTCTGAAATTACGGACACAATTTTTCCTAAGATGGCGCAAATCATGAAAAGCTGAAAACATTCTCTGAAAATCATGAACACTTTTTTGAAACTGGAACATATTTTGAATTCCAAAACAAAATTTGGAAAAGAGAACATTTTTAAAAACTCCCGAAGAAAATTTTAAAACACAAGCATTTTTAAAATTTGTGAAGAATTTTTGCAAACATGAATTGCTTTTAGCACTCCTTAAAATTGGAAACACAAACATTTTAAAAAAATTGCAAACAATTTTTGAAAATGTAAAAAAAATATGTTTCACATAACTTTTAAATTACCTTCAGAACAATTTTTGAGAAGCACAAGCCAAATTAAAAAAAAGCGAAATTTGTGAATAATTTTGGAAACTCCTGCAAAATGGAAACATCAGCATTTTTTTCAAATTTGGGAACTATGTTTGAAAGCAGGAACAAAAAAAATTTAAGTTGTGAACATTTCGAAGATAAATATACCAAACAAAATTTCAAAAAATGATCATTTTTTGAAAATCAAACAATTTTTGAAATGTGAAATTTTTTTGAACTCCTGAAAAGATGGACATTTGCGAACCTTTTTTGAAACATGAATTTTTTTAAAATTTGTGAAAATGGGAACATGAAATATTTTAAATATTTTGAAACATGAACATTTTAAAAATTGAAACATGAGCATTTAAAAAATTATAATGGGAACATTTTTTCCAAATTCTGATTTTTTTTAAATGCAAATATTTTTGGAAAATCCAGGACATTTTTCGGATTTATGAGCAAAATTATAAAACAGGAAGATTTAAATGATTTTAAAAAATTGAAGAAAGAATAATAAAGTTGAAAATAAAAAACTAAAATGAAAGGAAAGAAAGAAAAACGAAAGAGAAATAAAATAAAAATTAACAGAAAAGAGGGAAAGGAGAGAAAAGAAAGACAGGAAAAAGGAAAATAGGATAAAGAAAAAAAGAACAAGGAAAAAACGGTTCAGGAACCTTCTAGAAGTTTCCAAAAGCAATAAAAAATCGTCTGGGAACCTTAAAACCGGGGACGTTGAAATGCTTAAACAGGCCGGCCCAGCTTGAACGATCGCTTGATTCCCCTTTGCGAAACAACGGCAGTTCGATGAAAATGCGTTGAATAGGGATTTCCGCGCCCGTTACTTGTGTTTTTGCAAACGGGCACTTCAATGCATAATGCATCGAATAGGGATTTCCACGCCCATTACTAGTGTTTTTGCAAATGGGCACTTGAAGCTCCCCGCACTGGGCCCGCCAATCCAACATTTTTTTTCTGTGTCTTAATCAGCAAAAAAGCATTGTTTATGAATCGAACCAACAGCCTCCCTCATCGAGGTACGCAAGTGTAACAACCTCCTTTAATTTTTACTTCTTTTATTCATTCTTTCCTTTTTTTTCCTTTTTTCCTATCTATTTTTTCACAAATATGTGAACGCTTTCTTCAAGTCGATGATTTTCTTAAAAGAAATATGAACTTTTTCATACTCGGTGATTTTTTTTCAAATCGATGAACTTTTTTCTCAAAATCCGTGAACTTTTTTAAAAATCACTGAACTTTTTTTAAAATTCGATGAGCTTCCTTTAAATAATGATGAACTTTTTCAAATTTGCTGGGCTTTTTTTTCAAATTCAACAAACTTTTTTTTCCAAACTTGATGAACTTTTTTGAAATTTGATTATTTTTTCCAAATTTGATGAACATTTTTTCGAATTGATGAAATTTTGTTTTCAAATTTGATGATTTTTTCCAAAATTTGATGAACTTTTTTTCTCGACTGGTTCTTGACCAATTCACGTTGCCACCAACCACTAGTGTTCGGTGTTGTAGTGGTTAGCTGAACAATCCGACAATCGATCGGCAGGAATTTGAGTTATCGTGCAAGCATATTTTTGTGGGTTTTTTCGCGAGACGATTTATTGCTCTGTGCGTTCGTGGGGCAGCCCACTAGGCGTTGCAGTGGGCGCCGCTTGGGTTCCCCGACGCCGAACACGCGAAATAGGAGCACCCACATACAACTCTTCTAGATGTTTTTCTTTTCCTAAAAAAAGATGGTTTTCCTCTTTTTTTAAGAATCGCCTATGAGGCCTTCTCATTCATTCAAACGGCATAAGTCCGATTGAATTGTCTTAATCTAAAAGTCAGGGATTACATCAAAGGTACATGAACTAACAAGTAAAGCTAGAGAATACCTAGCACATTGGTGAGCAACTAAATTGGCCTCCCTTCGTACATAGACAATATTGAATCCATGAAAATTCGAGAGATAAGAGCATATCATACTCCCTCTGTCTGGATTACATCTCGCGGAAATGGATAAAAATGGATGTATGTAGAACAAAAATACAAGGCAATATGTCATGCATTTCTATAGTTTAGTACCTATTTCCATCTCTCTTACATAACATGTTTTATAATTGAAGCACCATTCTTCAATACAAGGCAGGTAAGGGCAAGAAGAATATGTTAGAATCTGAAGGGCTATAAACAAGGTCTTTGTAAAAGATCCAAACTCCAGAAGATAGTAACCCAACTCCGGTGTTCATAGAAATTGCTCCAGCACAGAGAAACCCAACTCCTCCAGATAATAACTAAATTTCCGTGGCAAAAAAACTAGTCCGTTGCAGTCTAATGTCTACTACGCAACTTTATTCTTGTAGACACGTGTTGGGCCTCCAAGCGTAGAGTTTTGTACGACAGTGACAATTTTTCCTTAAGTGGATGACCTAAGGTTTATCAATCCGTGGGAGGCGCAGGATGAAGATGGTCTCTCTCAAACAACCCTGCAACCAAATAATAAAAAGTCTCTCGTGTCCCCAACACACCTAATACAATGACAAATTGTATAGGTGCACTAGTTCGGCGAAGAAATGGTGATAAAAGTGTAATACGGATGGTAAAAATATATTTTAATAATCTGAATAAATAAAAACAGCAACGTAGTAAATAGTAAACGGGCACAAAAACGGTATTGCAATGCTTAAAAATGAGGCCTAGGGTCCGTACTTTCGCTAGTGCAATCTCTCAACAATACTAATATAATTGGATCATATAACCGTCCTTCAACGTGCAACGAAGAATCACTCCAAAATTCCTATATAGCGGAGAAGATAAGACGGAATTGTTTGTAGGGTACGAAACCACCTCAAAGCTATTCTTTCCGATCAATCTATCCTAGAGTCCGTACTAAAATAACACGAAGCTATTCTTTCCTATCGATCTAACCAAGAGTTCATACTAAAATAACACCAAAGCAAATTCAAATTCATAATATTCAATCCAACACAAAGAATTTCAAAGAGTGCCCCAAGATTCTACCGGAGAAACAAAGACAAGAACGTGCATCAACCCCTCTGCATAGATTACCCCAATGTCACCTCGGGAATCCGCAAGTTGAGTGCCAAAACATATATCAAGTGAATCAATACGATACCCCATTGTCACCACGAGTATTCATATGCAAGACATATATCAAGTGCTCTCAAATCCATAAAAGTATTCAATCCGATAACAACAAACTCTCAAAGGAAAAAAATCAATTCATCACAACAAGATAGAGAGGGGAAAGCGCCATATGATCCGACTATATTAACAAAGCCCGCGATACATCAAGATCGTGACGTCTCAAGAACACGAAAGAGAGAGAGAGAGAGAGATTAAACACATAGCTACTAGTACAAACCCTCAGCCCCGAGGGTGGACTACTCCCTCCTCATCGTGGTGGCCGTTGGGATGATGAAGATGCCAACCGGAGATGATTCCCCCCTCCGGCAGGGTGCCGGAACGGGGTCTAGATTGATTTTCGGTGGCTACAGAGCCTTGCGGTGGCGGAACTTCTGATCTAGGGTTATTTCTGATGGTTTCTGTATTTATAGGATTTTTTGGCATTGGTTTCACGCGAAGATGGCCTCGAGGTGAGCACAACCCATCGGGGCAAGCCAGGCCCACCAGTCGCGCCCTGGTGGGTTGTGCCCTCCTCGTAGCTCTTCTGGCCCTCCCACGAAGCTTCAGAGGTCTCTTTTGTTCCCAGAAAATCGTCAAAAAGTTTCAGCTCATTTGGAGAACTTTCATTTCTACACAAAAAACAACACCATGGTAGTTCTGCTGAAAACAGCGTCAGTCCGGGTTAGTTCCATGCAAATCATATCAAAACCATATAAAATTGTTGTAAACATGGCATGGATACTTCATAAATTATAGATATGTTGGAGACGTATCAGCATCCCTAAGCTTAATTCCTACTTGTCCTCGAGTAGGTAAATGATAAAAGAAATAATTTATGAAGTGTGAATGCTAGCAAAGTGCACAAGTTTGATCAATGATAATTTCAATCACTTTTCCTAGCATCATAACAACAACTCTTTCTCATAAAACTTATCATGGTAAAGTTGCAACTGAAAATGGAATATTTGTTG